AAAAAATATTAATATTAAATTATATGTTAAAAGTCTGGTATTAGATAATATAAAAAGCATTTGTATTTAGTTCCAATTATAAAATAAACGAATTTGTTACTTTTTCAATATTAGTTTTTACTTTCAAATTATAAAATACTATTTGAAAATTTAAAAAATTAATATAAATGTATATATATAAAATAATTAATAATAACATATTATATCTTCAGACTTAATTATTTAAATCACCAATAAACACCTATTTGAGCACATGCACTCTGCGCTTTTTTGCTGAGCCCAATTCAAAGGTATTTGCGGGTTGATTTCTTTATCGCGCTGTTCACTCACCTCATTTGCAGTCAATTTTCGCGCTGCTCGGCGGTCATAAAAATTGTTGCAGAAAACATTCTTTTTAATAAGCAATTATTGTCTGCTCCTTTTAAACGTTGACGCGTAGAGACTCTTAACTAATTACAAACGATTTACATGCCATGCAGCTAAGGCCAGAGAGTGGAAGAGAGAGGTGGACAGAGAGACGGGAGAGAGGTAGGGAGCACAAGCCCCAGAACTGGGCCCAGAACCAGCCAGGCCTCCGGTTCGCTTGTGGATAATCCCGCTTTAAATATTTGCAACATTTAAAGTAAATGCAGAAACCGGTTGCCACTCTTAGCTGCCAGTTGCTGTTCTGTGCTCTTGCCGATCATCATGATGATGACGTTGCAGATGTGAAATGCGAAAGCACACTCATACACTCTACACACACACACACGCATACACACACCCACCCAGCAGGGCAGAAGAGGCAGCGCACATGAATCCGCTTGGCACTCACGTAGCCGCAGCCGTGTCAAACGTGGCAGCCCCACGCAGCAGAAGGCATCCTCATTGCACATGCGCAACATGTGCGCTGTAAAGCGAGTAAAGGCGTAAGTATGAGTATGAACATGAGTGTGAGTGCGAGTGCGAATAGTGCAACCAGCCTGTGCTTATTCAGCGCAGCTTGTAATTAGCGACTTTAGACTTTAAATTAGAGTACATGTGCGGACTGCGGTGCTTTCACCAGAGCCCGGCCGGGCCAAGCCTCGGGCTGAGCAGGCTCATTAGACGCTGCAGTTGCCAACATGAGTCACCCAGCGGGCTGGCTGCCGCCTTGGCCTCAAATGCAGCATTGAAATTGCAGTTGCGCTGCCAAAGCCGTCAAATTGCGTAGCCAATGGGCTGCCCGACTGCCCCGATCATAATTAGCTGTAATATATTGTGAACTGCACCCAGCTCCGCTTCCCCAGCTGCTGTCAGTGCGCTATTGTGAAGTTGCTTAACTCGAAATACCCTTACAACAGAGTTGCTCGCCAATGTCTTGAGGCTGTGCAACTAAAATTGTGGCAAACACTTTTCACAAGGCGTCATAGTTGTTATGAGACTATTGTTATTAATTTAAACTAAAAACTAAATTGATTAATTAATTAATTTTAGGAATAATATTTTACAAACTTTTGCTATCCTTGCAAGTGTATGTAAATTTCGGTATTTTAAAAACTTGGCTTTCTCACTCTTTTTTTCTGTGGCCTTTAATACGATCTTTATAGCACCTGGATTTTCTTGTTTCAGTCGCCAATATAAATTTATTCTTTTTTTGTACGAGTGTGTGAGTGAATGTGTGTGTGAGAGTGTGTGTTTGTGTGTGTGCTGATTATTTTGCGCTTATTATTTGGCTTATGCGATTTTTTTTCTTGCTGCTGTCGTTTCTTTTTTGTTTAATTTTCAATAAATGCTGCTGGTTTATTATGTCGCTCTGTTGTTGCTGCTGACTCTATTGTGTGTGTGTGTGTGTGTGTGTGTGTGTGTGTGTGTGTGTTTGGATCAGGCGATTACTCATTTGACTGCATGCACATAAATTTTATGCACTTTTTTGATTGCTTTATTTTTATTAATTGCTTTTTACACATTTTGTTTGGCTTTTTGAGCATTACAAGTCGCATTTAGTTGCATGATTTGCTCAAGGGAAAACGGCAGGCGGTATGCAGGGGTCGCTGGCAGGGATAGAGGGGGCCTAAATCGCATGAGAGGTGTCACTCGTTGTGTGTGCGTGTCGTGTGAGCTGATTGTGTCATTAGAATGAATGCGGATCGGACAGAGACAAAGCGAGCAAAGCCAAAATGCGGTCAAAGATATCAAATATGTTTCTATTATTTATCGAATATGGAATGGCCAACAAAGAGAACAATTCGATTATTTTATAATTGCAGTTACTTGTGAATCAATTTGAATACAATTTCTTTTTCACTCAATCAGGAAGATTTAGATTTGAATTCATTTAAATTTAAATTTGATGGAAAAAATGTTTATATAATAGAAAAAGAAAATATGGTTTAAAATTAATGATTCGAAAAAATATACAATTTTTGATTTGTTTGCCTAAATTTGCTGCACATCATAATTTTATGGATCCGAAATTTGTAATTGCCTTTATTGCTTTTGTCAGCCTGAACCTACTCGAAAAGGGACAGCATTTCGGCCATAATTTAGCCCAATTTTACGAGCAACGACAACAATCGCCTTAGACTTAAAATTAAACAAAAATAAACTTGAAACTTGAGAGAAAAAAAAAACTGATTTAAGCTCGGTTCGGCTATCGACGGATCGGCGTCTTCAATGTTGTTTTCCTATTGGCATTGTTGCTGTTGTTCTTGTTGTTGTTGTTGCTGTTGGTTTCTGCTGATTCGCCAAGCAACTATGCGCCAGCAGGCACAGATCGAGCCCAGGCAAGCCAATGCGAGCCCAAGCGAACTGAGCCAACGAGGACATGCGAAATTTTTTATTTATTGCTGACAATTGCACAAACTTTTTTGTGATCTCATTTTGTTGGTGTTGTTGTTGTTGTTGTCGCTGTTTTGTTTTTTGCTCAGTTTTTATGGTCATTAAAATTGGGACAAATATTTGACCGAGTGTTGCTGCCGCTGTTGTATTAAGTTTTCGGCATTTGTTTTTTATTTATTTACTCGTTTTTGTTTTGTTTTTGTTATTGTTGTTTTGTTTTTGTTTTTGCGCACGACATGGCTTCAGCCTGCGGCTGCTTTATAACGTTTTGTAGCGTAAAATGTTTGACGCCAAGTTTGCCCTTGACGCTCGGCCTGAGTTGCAGGAATTGTCAAAGTTGTTGTAGTGGCAACATTTTGCGGCAAGCTCGCTGATTTCATGATTAGCCAGTCGGTGCCGCGACTAATTAATGATCGCCGCGCCGCTTGCATGCTAATTAAATGCAAACCAATTTAAGTATTCAACTAGAGATGCGCGCGTGACCATATTATTTGTCACGCAGAACCAAGCGAGACTATTTTCGTGTCAATGGCAAGAGTTTAGAATAGATTTTAGAGGAGTTAAATATAGTTTTCTGCGTGATTCGTAATATTGCACTACATTTTCGATTTCAAAAAGGCACTAACTTTTATAAATAATGCAAGAATCGAATTTGGTTTATAATACCCCATTTTTCTATTAAAAACGCAATTAATTTTGTTTTATTATCTCTTCAACTATGCACTTGATCGTTTTTATCCGCCCAGCTGATCTATTTCGATTGCGCTTCATTTAACCCCCTTAAGCACGACTCACGCAGTTGCTCTGATTAGAAAATTCTAATTGGAAATGTTTGCGTTTAGCGACTCACCGACTCGGTTTTGATGTTGAGCGCCAGCACATGCGACGAGCTGTTGGAGGAGACAGATGGCGGCGAAGCGGGCGTGGCACCGCCACATGGTGACTGCGCCGCAGCGGCCGCTGGCGAGCAGCGGCTGAGCAGCGGGCTGGCCTCGCGCAGGGGGCTGGCGAGGGCGACGCCGATGCCGATCGTGCCGCTTGGGAGTAGGGCGAACCGGGCGACTTGTTGGCATTTGTGGAGCAATTGGAGGGCACTACGGCCGCGGTGGTACAGCTGGTCAAAGTGCTGGCTGACGAGCTGGACGAGCTGGATGAGCTGGAGGAGGAGGATGATGATGAGCTGCTGCTGCTGTTGGCATTGCTGTTGTTGTTATTGTTGCTACTGTTAATATTGTTGTTGCTGCTGCTGCTGCATATCAATGCTTGCATTTTGGTATTGTTGTTGTTGTTGTTATTGTTGCTGACGGCGCTGTTGTTGTTGTTGACACTAGCACCTGGCATGATGCTGCCATCGCAAAACTCTCGCTTTACAATGTTGCTGGCAGTGTTGTTGCTGCTGCCGTTGTTGTTGCTGTTGCTGCTGCTGTTATTGTTGTTATTGTTGTTGCTGCTGCTGCTGCCGGGCGTCGCTACAATAGCCGCCTCGCAGGGCAGCACCGTACCCAGCATCTTGTCGAGCTTATACTGTGACGTGGTGGATTCAGCGGCGCCGGCAGAGTCCTCGCAGCCCTCGGCCATGTCACTGACCCGCTCGCATTGTGTGCGCCGTCTGCAAGAAAGGTGAGCAAAGAAGTCAAGAGTTGCCTTAATCAACAGTTCAGCTTCAAAGGATCATCTTAACAGGTTGTCATCGTGTGGGTGTAAACAATAAATGAATGACTTGCATGAGTTATATTTCGTATATATGACAAAATTTAACGCTGTGCAGCAGGATTCGAGTTCCCCTTTGTCTGCTTTGTCAGCAACTATTCGGCATATTAGCTTATAGGTTTGATAGAACTAAATTATTTTCTATTTGTAATCATCTAATTAATAAAATCAATATGCTATTGCGCGAAATAAAGTGAAATTTGAAGTCTTACAGTAATATTTTAATTAGAATAATAGTTCTACATATAATTTCTACCTTAGCTAAGAATATAACCTGTTGCTTTATCCGTCTAAGACCTATTAACGGCTGGCTGAACCCTTGCTTAGCATTAATATAATAATAATATAATAATACTTGAAATATCTGGAAACAATAAAAAGAGCATTTATCAGCCTGAATTTTAAATATATCCCTGCCGGAATACAAGTGTCCTCATACAAAAACTTAACTTCTGACCTGTAGGAGCTTTTTTATATCGAAAAGATATAAAATTAATTTCGCAAGAGTATCTAATTTTCGGCACCTCGAGGGTATAATATTTGTGAAATTTCTTAATAGGTATGCCAATGTGTCTACGGAAGTTAATTGCCATTAAAATGCAGCTGGTTATGCGAACAACCCTATCGACGGGCATTTGGCTAAATGGTGACTGTACCTGTGCCTTTTGCCTGCTACGGCTCATAATTTAGAATTTACATTTATCGAATATATTTCGTGCACTTAAAACTCATGCCCAAGCGCATTAATTTCATTAATTATCCCTGTTGCCATCCGGTTGACCACAGCAACACAGCAAAAGCAACAAACAAAATAACAAAAGCCAAAAGCAGCGTCAGCGGCAAGGGGGAAGCGGAAAAGGCGGAGGCGGGCCTTTGGTGTGGGAAGCGTCGCACACATGCCGCATAATTTTGCAAATGCAAAACGTTGCCTCGAGTCCGAGTCCTGTGCATGTCCTTGCAAGCCACGACGACCTGCACTGGACAATGACTCCGCCGTGGAAGAAGGGGATTCGCAAAGTAGCTACAGCAGCGCAGTGTGGCTTCCAGCGGGTGGTTAGGGCTGCCCGCCGCCTGTCGTAATCGAAAATTTTACACCTACTCCGCATTATAATTTATATGCCTGGCGGGACGGGGTCCAGACTCTGAAAGGGAATGAGTCACGTCTGGCAAGAAAGTTTTTGTTATACATACATACATATGTTTCGAGCTATATAAATGCGAAAGTCTTTTGTGTATATAAGAGATCAGTGTATGTGCGAAACTTTTTTCATAAATCATGGAGGGATGTGCTTAAGACTTCAGGCCATGAGGAAATCTTATGAGAAATAGTCTCTAAATTTTATAAGACAAAACATAACTGATCAAAATAAAAATACAAATAACTACATTAATTAAAAAAAAATAAAAATATAAAAAAATACTTAAAAATAAATTCGACAAAATAAAAACTTAGTGAACTAATAAAAGAAAAAATTAAAAATCTTTAAAAAAAAATAGGGAATATTTACATAATGTTAAAAGCTTCTGTTCTCGTACTTGCATTATTTGACAAGATTTCAAGAAGATTTCGACATCAAATAGATGTCTAGTTTAAGCCTTTTATGCTTCAATGGGTAAACTGCAAATTGACTGAGCCGAGTTAAGGCGCCTAAATGAAGGCAACCAGCAAAGTATGCCCAAATCATTTGCTTCCATACCTTGACATTTGTGTCCAACTCAGTCTCACGCACACACCCACAAAATGCGTGTTACTCGTATAGAGGCGCCTGGTCGAAAATCGAACACTAAATGCGAAAGTCGAGCTACGATTCTGGATGTGTTGTTCCTGTCTTCGGCTTCGGTACACAAAACGGGCGTTGATTTTAATGCATAATGCAAATGGATGTGCATGTGTATGCCACTGAGTCTGAGTGTGTGTGTGTTTGAGTTTCTGTTGTTGCAGTTGTTGTTGTTGTCGGCAACTATGCAGGCAACTCGCCTACAACTGTCTGCAGTTGTAATAATGCAAAGCCGCCATGACCAACGTCATCAACAACAACAGCAACTGCACTCAGAGAAGGAGGTCGAGTCGAAGCTGGTGTCAGAGTCGGGAGTCCGAGTCACAGACGACACTGGGCAGCCGGCAGCAGTCAACGAACGCACTTTTCCGGCCACGTCGCCGACGTCGTTGGTCATAATGAGCCACAAGCTGGGGAAGGTGGGCAGGCGGGATGGCGAGGACGATGCCTTGCAAGTTGTGTGCAGGACATGTAATGCCCGAGTCAGGGCAGCAGACGTTGTATTGTAGATTTTGGACAGGAAGTGGACAGCACGAGGAGCCGAAGCACAGGCCACTCGCATCGGCCAGAGAAGGAGTAATAATTAATTTTGTACATTGCATGCAAATGTCTGGGCCCTGGTCGTAACCAACTGCTGGTCTGGGCTAAGAGCCACCCACCCGGTTCGAGGCATGTGGCATATGCATAAGCAGCAAACAATGCAAAACAAAGCAACACACGAATGCACAGCAGCAGAAACAACACCAAAATAATTTCTACAGAGAGAGAAAAGGTATGGTAACTACTTAGGAGACATGCCAAGAATATAATTTGATAGGCTCAGTGTATGGGCACGTGCGAACGAGATGGCTGAGTTGAGGCTTAATGAGCAATTGTTGCTGCTGCACCTTGGCAACATGTTGTGAAAGTTAGTCGTAAATACGGAAAATTGCAGCGACAAAATATGCCAGCCAAATTAAGTACAATTTGCGCATATTAAAACTCTGTCTAAATTGCACAGGCGAGCAGCAACTTGCAGCATGCAACAGCGCTTCCTGCAGCAGCAGCAACAGCAGCAACTATGCTGCTGCAAATCTAATCAATAACCGACAAACTGGTAGAATTTCATGTAGCACACTAAATAGCACGATTAATTATCGCTATGGCCGGGCAGCTATAATTCAAATCAAGTGCTGGTATGTGTTTGTTGTTGTTTTTTTTTTTTTGTAAGCAGCAGCAACATGCAACATCTGCAACATGCGCTGGCCTATCGCACATAACGCATTACAAACCGGTCTAATTATACTCATTTTGTTGCCGCAACGCGCTTGCAACATGTTGCTGCTGTAAAATCTAGCTATAAATTGCAATCTCCATGCAACTTTCTATTGCTAAAAATTTATCATTTGAGACACTCGACCGGCCAATGTCTTGGCCAGCGTTTTGTCTTGCCCCATTCGAGAGCGGTCCGGAGCGGCAGTTCCTCGCCAATATTCAAATTAATAAAATCATCAATAATTTTGCATAGCTGCAACATGCTGAACATGTTGCTGCCACGGCTGCTGCTGCCACTTGTTGTAATTAATAGTCAAACTAAATTGTAGCACATTCTGCCATCCATTCGGAGGTATCGCTTCAAATGTGGCACAAAGCAATTTCTGATTGGAAAACTGCGTCCGGCTTGAGCCAAACTCCAATTTATGCCGCAGGCTATTAAATTGCCTTTTGATTTGTAATTAGCACAGAATGCACATTAAATGCCAAGCGAATGGCGACTTCTTTAAGCCTGCGTATCTGGCCGACGGCAGGGAAGGGGGCGGGGCGGCCTCGGTGCAACTTTTTGGCAGCCAAACTTTGCGAGTGTCGGCCTGAAAAATAATCAATAATGCGCCCCATGCCACAGGGTGGCCAGCACAACATTAAGTCATTCAGTTAAAATTATTTATGCAACATTTACTTACGCACACACACAGACAATAACACACACAAACACACACCCGAACACACGTGAGCTAAAAAGTTTTCTGGCTGAGTTGTTGTTGGCCATTGCATTGTTTTAGGGTTGTTGTTGTCGGGGATGTTCATGCACTGGCACGAGTGTGTGTGTGTGTGTATGTCTATTCGTCTGCATGTGTGTGGGTGTGTGAGTAAACGTGCAATTTTCTTAAAAATTACACACGATTACACATGAAATACAACCGTTAAGGTGGAACATTATGTAAAGTAGATAGAATGGTATGAGGGCGTAATGGGGGTATGGGGGGGAGCGATGGTAATGAAAGCACGAGCAGAGCTTGTAGTTTTCCAAATTGAGTCAGAGCCATAAAGTTTGGAGGGTGCACTGCTAAACGGATTACAAAGACTCAAGTGTGCGTTGGCTGAAAGCTATGCGATATAAGTAGATCCAATATGAGAAGCAAAATATATATTTAAGAGATGTTGGAAAATATTTAATTATAAATGTAAAGTAAAGAATTTCAAATCTTTAAGGTAAATCCAAATTGTTTAATTAAAATATTTTAGTTAGTTAAGCTTAGAAGACTCCATTAATGCATCTATATTTTTTGCGTACATCTAAATTTTTCGTCTCCAGCTCTTCAAAACTATGCGATGTGCTGCAAGAACTTTATATTAAAATCGATATTTACATATACTTTATACCTATATATACTATGTAAGTAGGGGCTGATTCTATATACATTTCCAAAAAACTTGCTTACCCTACACTTACTTTTACGTTTGATTGATATTGCTTCTTGAAGCAATCTTAAATCAATGTTATTGATAATTTAAACCATTTTAATTTTTATAAATATATATATATATATATATATATATATATATATATATATATATATATGTGGAGCATCGATTTCAGGGACCCCAAAAAGTGGGGGTTTTCTCTTTGGGGAATCATGATGGAACTTCTAAATTAACCTCTGGGAAATTTTAACGGTCTTAGAAGCATAGCCTCGTGACTTATGAGAAATTTTATATACAACCATTATTTTGGGTACACACCATGTAACGTGTTTTACGAGGACTCAGTTCCCGAAATACTCTCAGTATATAACATAAAAATTTTCCGTATAATGAACTTTATATATAAGGTCAGTTTTAGGAACAAAAACGCAGGGTTGCC